GCTGGGTAAGTAGCAGACTGACATTCACCAACGATTACCATCACTGAGATAAGAGCGAAACCATCGCAGGAGGTTGCCATCTACCCCGAGTCTGTCTAACTTAGCAATCGCAATTGCATGGTTCAGTTTATCAAATGCAGCCGAAAAGTCGGTGTAAATTACGTCTGTTTGAGCCCGTTCTGTCATGCTTTCCGTGACATAGGGGAAATGGCTCTAATGTTGGCCTATGGATCTAAGATTGGGCCCATCTCTAAAAGTCTGCTATTTATCAATTTTATCTAGATGAACGCGTCATTAGGACGGTACTAAAGGATATTTTTGGTCGCTGTTGAAAATTTAGTCGATTGCTGAATTTATGTATGGGCCCAAATTAGGGACATGTAGGCCGACATTACCTACATTTTCCCTACGATGTCAAAATAGTAGATTAGTGGTAGTAGAGCGACCGGAAACGATGCCGTGATACTGCTTACAATGAGAGAGCAGGGGCTCCATGATGACTAATAGTACGTTCAGACTACAGAGTTATAACATGTTATAGCGCAATCTTGAGGGTGGTTTCTGTGTTGCAATTATTTGACAACCGTTATAACATGTTATAACTGCTCAGTTTGGCCAGCGTTTAACTCGAATAACTTCGAAACTGAGCTCAACGATATGATTCCAAGGTAATTATCCACGTTCCGTTTGTTTCCCTTTTTGTGAACAGGAAACATACGTGCAAATTTCCAACAAGATGGCATTTTCAGCAATACAACGATCCGAAACACACTTCTAAGTATGTAAAGGAATGGTTTCGTTCAAACAAAGTGTCGGTTATTGCATGGCCTAGCCAATCTCCTGGCATCAACCCCATCGAAAATTTATGGAACGAGCTTAAAAGAAAGTTATCCGGTCAAGCATTTTCAAATAAGGATCAACTATGAACCACAGTTCAAAAGGAGTGGTATGCTTTACCAAAGGAAACTTTTCAGTGCTTGGTTGAGTCATTTTATTCAACCACAACATCGAAATATTTGGTGTTGAGAATAAGGTTTGTCGAGAAGCTTTTATGCGAATTACAAGAGTTGTAAACAGAGCTTATTCGATCAAATTTTTGATTATTCAGCGTTTATCAGACATTATTACTTTCTTAAACAGCGATGGTATAAAGGTGTATATAGACGCTTGATTCACATGTGAAATAATGTTTAATTAGACACTATTATACATATAATAAACGATTATTCAACTACGAGATAATTAATCCGAAAATAAGCACGGGACAATGCAGGGTTGTTCTCGTAAGTGTGATTGTTGGTGTCTTTATTTCTGTCGAAGCACGTACCCACCACACAGATACTAGAAAATTTATTGCATACATACATACACACACATGTCGTTATATGGGATTCGAACCATGACCTTCCGATTACCAGCCGTGATCACCGTGAGATTATGATTTAAATTAATTAAGCGTAGAAAATAAATAAAAAAGGGTTGAGGTTCGGACTGAACTTGCGACCTTCTACTTGGAAAGCGGAAACGGTAACCACTATGCTACCAATTTTGTTTAGTTATCAGCCTGAAACAGTGTTTATTTTTATTTATTTATTTATTTATTTATTTGTAGTTTGTTACAGTCAACAGGTTAAAATACCCAAATGACAATTAAAACTTAGAACTATCGCACTATTGCTACTGTGACATAAATCTCAAGAAATTCTGCCTATTGGACGCACGTGAAAAACTAAAGTCAAATACATGTTGACAATGATTGAACACACGGCACATGCTACGAACTGGCTCATTCAAACCATAATTTGTCCTGGAAGTATCGATGAACAAAAAGGCGTGTGTACGTAGCTGACGTCTCCTAATGTTTATGTTTAGCTGTGTAAGTAGCGAAGGGCAGCCGATGAGAGACGTTAACAGATCACTGACAAAGCAAGCTTTTGCAACATCACGTCTAACACTGAGTAGGTCCAGATGAATGAGTTTGCAACGACTCTCGTAACTAGGAAGATCCAGACGGTCAGTCCAGGGAAGGTGTCGTAGAGCATAACGGATGAATTTCCGTTGAATCTTCTCAACGCGTTGAATTCCATTTTGGTAGTATGGACTCCAAACAACGGAGGAGTATTCAAGTATGGGTCGCACCAAGCTGCAGTACAAGGCCTTTAAGCAGTATACATCTTTGAAGTGCTTGGCAAAGCGAAATATGAAGCCTAGCTGGGAAGATGCTTTCGAGATGATGTATGTCAGATGAGCGTTAAACGTTAGCTTCGAGTCCAAAAGCACTCCCAGGTCTTTAACCAAGGATTCTCGTGCTAGAGACACTCCGGACAAGCTGTAGTTATGGATGAGCGGTGAACGTTTGCGAGTGAAGGAAATCACTGAGCACTTGGATGTGTTTAATACCATACGATTTCTTCTGCACCAATCAGCAAACGTTTCGAACTGATGTTGTAAGAACTCGGCATCGTCTAGTTTCTCGATGATCGCATAAATCTTGAAGTCGTCTGCATAGGATTTCTTGTGACACCTTAGAACTGAGTTGACGTCGTTCATAAACAACAAAAACAGAAATGGCCCCAGATGACTTCCTTGCGGTACACCGGATGTAACAGGAAACGAAGTTGAAAACTGGTTGCCGAGCCGTACACGCATGTTACGCCCCATCAGATATGAACGTAGCCATTTGAGTAGCCTAGCATCAGCGCCTAATTTATCATACTTGGCCAGAGCGATTTCGTGGTTCATCTTGTCAAAAGCTGCTGACAAATCCATGTAGATTGCGTCAATTTGGCAGCCACGCTCTATCGAGCGAGCAAGAAATGAAGTGAACGTGGTTAAGTTTGTGGTAGTAGAGCGCTTGGGCATAAAGCCGTGTTGATCTTCCGAGATGTAGTGCGAGCAGCCGTGTGAAAGGAAGTCCAGAACAATCAGCTCGAAGAGTTTTGAGGTTGCACATAGAGCGGCTATGCCACGGTAGTTTGAAACTGTTTGCTTACAACCTTTCTTATGTACAGGAAACACGTACGATTCCTTCCAAATAGTCGGGAACACGCCTGATTCCAATGAGAGGTTGAACACAGTAGCGAGAGGTGCTGAAAGAGAGTGGATGCATTTATTCAGCACTATAGACGGGATACCGTCTGGGCCGACTCCGGTAGTATTTTTCAATCGTCTGCTAGCGGAAAGCACCGTGTCACTTGATATCGGAGGAAGTTCACCAAGCGGAGGAAGTACAGGCACATTACTCACGGCATCAACAATATCCTGCGGGCTAGTTGGGTCATTGCAAAAAACTCCGCTAAATTGTTTCCTAAACAAGTCAGCGATGTCGTCAAGGGCAGAAGCTTCTGTGTCACCATTACGCATAGTGGAGGGAAGTCCCACTTCTTTCCGCTGGCCATCTACGTATTTCCAAAAGCTTTTAGGATTGAGTTTGAGACTTCGCTGCAACCTCTCTTGATAAGAATTGAATAGGCGTTTGTTAAGGATCTTGTAGCGTTTGTTTGCTTTGGTGTAGCGTGCTCTGTTTCTTGCGGTTCGGTGTCGAATGAACTTCCTTAAGGCACGCCTTTTAGCCGTTTTGAGACGTTTCAAGCGTGTGTTGCTCCAGATTGGGAAAGCCTTCTCAGGGTTGGTCTTTGTCGGCACGTACTGGTCAATAGCGTAGAATACGATGTTCGAAAGGGTCGACGCCGCCAAATCGGTGTCACAATCACGAAACGTAGTGTTCCAGTCTATACTCGATAGGAAAAGATTCATGCCATCGAAATCAGCTTTGTTGAAATCCAAAAGCACCTCTTCGGTAGTATCCTGAAACTGGCAATTAGTGCAGTTGTTCAGAGACAGCAGTAGAGCTGGATGATGCATGCAGTCTTTGACTAGAGGATGAGGAGCTTGTGTTACAGAGCAATTGGGTCGGAGGTCTTCACTGACAAATGCGAGGTCTAACATGCGGTTGTTGCTATTAGGTACCACATTTATCTGCTGCAGGTTAGCGGTGCTGTATCCATCCAGAAGACATGTGGTTGTTCGTCCAAAATTCAAATAACGGCAATCGGGGTACGAAAATCCATTCGAATCGACTCGCCAGCTGATTTCACGCAGATTGAAGTCGCCGAGGATGAGAATATTGTCTCTAGCGTCCATACGTGAGACGACCCAATCAATCGCGCAAAGATGTTTGTCGATAAGTTCATCATCGTTGATGCGGTCCGGAGGGAAGTAAACGACACAGACGAAAATGCACATGCCCTCGAACGATAGTTGCACCCACACTTGCTCGATTTCAGATGTGCTGGGTGGATACAGCTGGTGACTTTTCAAGCTGGAGCGAACCGCTAGCAGAACACCTCCACCAGTACGCTTATGGCTGTTGAGCGGGGAACGGTCTTGACGGTAGACGGTAAACGAGTCGTCAAAAATCTGCCGAGAGGTTGTGCTACTATTCAGCCAAGTTTCGGTGAAGGCATACCAGTCGTAGCAGGCATCAGAACAGGCAAGCTGATAGTCTACTATGGAGGTGTTGATGCCACCGACGTTCTGGTAGTATCCCAGCAGCGAACGGGGGGCTTGGGCTACCTTACCGGGACGTTGAGGTTGGGAAACCCCGTCATCATCACTAGAGACAGGACAACCGTGAAGAGCGTAGGCTGCAGTTGGCTCCACGAGCTCAAGGGCGCTCATCTCAACGTGGGAAGAAGTGCGTCCTGCTGATGTTTGATGGTGGTCGTTCGTATAAGCTGAGGGCTGACATGTTGACATAAGTGGCGGGCTGACCTTCGTAGCAGTCACATGTTTGCTGGAACAACGGAAGTCATCAGGAAGTGAATGCTCTAACAAATTTGAATACTTGCCTTGAGAAGCAAGTTGGAGAACCTCTTCAACAGAACCAGATACAGGACCACGACGGCTAAGATGAGCGCAGGCGGCAAGAGGCAGGACCGATCCGGTCTGAGAAGAGGTCTCCAAGTTGCTATATGCAGTGCGTCGTGGTGGTCCACTTCTTATTCGGTCATGGTGTTCGAATCCGTGATGCTGCGTCCCGATGGCGAGCTTGGAGAGTGATTGTCTGTCGGCGTTTGATGGGGCTTCCAAAAATTTCCGGACGACTTTCTGTCCTTGAATTCCCGGAAGAGAATTCCCTTAGGCCACGTCGAAGTTGAGAGGGCTTTAGCTTTGAGGTCAGGGTTTAGGCCAATTTTGAATGAAATGAACGTTAGGGTGTTAACATTCTTCCCTTTGGCAACTAGTCGAACGACATCAACATCATCCGTGCCCATCCGCTTTATTGCCAATTGGCGAACTTGGTCGACTGTTACATCACGTGCAAGACGCGATATGTAGAGCCAGAATTTTTCATCGGAAGCTGATGCGGTGAGCTTTCCAAGCGATGGTGACAACGAGCCTCCGGTTCCACACATCAAGTCCTTCGCATGTTGATTGGTGTTTTGGAACAGGCGACGACTTCTGATGGATTTTGTAGCTGACGGACGTGTTGTTGGAGTGAGTGTACTCGAGTTAATTAGGGCGGTAAAGTTAGAACGGATTTCATTTTTCAGTTCCGACAGTATACTCGATTTCATATTCTCAACTATCTCGCTGTGAGCGGTGAGAACATGTTCCTGGCCAGCTTCGTAAGCACCCCGAACTGAGCTTCGGAAGCGCACGTCATCCATCAACTTAGAGCACGATTTGCACATCCAGTACAGCTGCTTAATTTTGGGCAATTCATCCGAGATAGCCGTGGGAATGCCGCTACACTTGAGATGGAACACAGCTTTGCAAAATCCGTTGCAAGTAATGGGAGCTTCCACCACTTCGATGGCACAGGCATGGCAGACAGCACTCATTTTCAGGCTTGTGTGACGAAGAATGTATGCGACTATTCGGTTGTCCAGAATCTTTTAAACGGGAGTGCGTTGTGTAATGCGCCTTACGGTAGGCAAGGAGACAGGTGTATCACTTTTCTGTCAGATGGCGCCAGTAAAGGGAAGACGAGCGGGAAGGTAGGTAGGTATGTTTTGTTTAACCACCAGCAGCAACACAACACCACAGCAAAGATAAAACACGAAATAGACGCGATAAAAAGCACTAGAACACAAATCCGATTTGCTTAGTACACGCTTTGAATGATAATCTACTATACGGAACTAATTAGACGAATTTTAGAACACAAAAACAACGTAAATTGAGTGTTGAATCACAGTCGGCTGAGAACGATACTTGTAGACAAACGCAGAGTTGCCAAGAGTGTTGTGGAATAATGAATGAATACACCGTTTGTAAAGAATTTACAAAGCATGCAATTAAAACATGGACACATAGCGGTATAAGAGTTATTATGCTGACTTTATTCACCTTTATTCAGCAATATTGTTAAGCAATGCAATGGACTCTAACAATGGAGCTAGAAAACAATTATTAGACGTATAATAAAGCAAGTTATTGAATCAATTGAAAACAGTCGAATTAAAGCGTCAATGTATGTGCAAACTACACTTATTCAGTTTGTTATTAGACGAAAATTCTGGGAAATTGGGAATACAGTCAACGTTTATTCAGCTTTTAATAAGAACATTAATCAGATCAGAGCAAACAATGGAATAAATGTGCATCTATCGATCTCAATGAGCATTTTTCAGCACATAATTCGACAACTCGTTTTATTCAGCATTGCACGCTGTAATACAGCATTTTTTCAATATATATGCTTATTTGTGACTGAATTGTTGGTGGGTCATTTTCAAAAAAATGAATCGATTCACTAAGATCGATTCTTGCCTTAAGATTGCTCAATGCTAGTCGACTCAGTTACATGTCATGTCGGGGCGTAGGATGCCATGCTATAGACGAGTGCACGGATGGATTTGAGTTCACTCGCTCGACAAAAAGTGACACAACAGTGGGGACCTGTTTACTAAAAATCAACACATGAATTATACACGCGTAACATTTGAAACGGGCCTATAAACTTGTGTACACAAAACTTGTTAAGCCCTTTTCGCGCGAACCGAATACGCCCACGCAAACTAACAACACCATCGGGTAGGAGAAATTCTCCCCTTCCCGATAGTGCTCTTGGTTTACGTAAGCATACTTTGGTTCTCGTGAAAAGGACCTTGCAAGTTGTTTAAAAAAATTGATAATCCATTTTCAAATGTTATGCGAGCATTATTAATGTGTTCATTTTAAGTAAACAGTGAACTCAAATCCATCCGTGCACTCGTCTATCATTGTTGCTGACAGAGAGCTGATGTTCAAACCAACACGGCGAATGAGAACGACACAAATTTGACTTTAGTTCACTCATAATCACCAAAAGTGCAGGAACTCAGCGATGAGTAAAATTTGTCTAATGTTTTCCCAGGATTTTCCAGGGAAAAATTCCCGAATTTGAGAAAAGTAAAGATTGGATTCACTCAGTCTATTGGTACTACTCCGAGACTGCATAAAATTTTCGTCAATTTCCTCATTTTCCGGCAGATTTTTAGGTTTTCCACAGGAAACCATGAGATAAATTTACTCATCGCTGAGTTCCTGCACTTTTGGCGACTATGAGTTAACTAAACTCAAATTTGGGTCGTTATTTTTCGCCGTGAATCGAATAGTAGACGAGGGCCGGTGGGATCATCGACTCCTCTGACAGAGAACTGGTGTTCATGCAGACTGAATATGATGGCCGCTAGAAATCAGTCGGGGCGTAGGATGCCATACTATAAATGATGCTGACAGAGAGTTGATGTTCAAACCGATCGAAGGACAGATGAGGGCTGGTGGGAGCGTTGACTCCACTAGACGTCGGAAACGTAGGATGCCATAGATGCCAAGTTAGCGATTTCACCGAGAAGCAGATATTGCGGATCTGGAACCATTTGTTGTACGAACCATTAGGGGCGTAGTATCACTGGCTTCGGCCAGACATATACCAGTCTAAGTTTCCTGACAGAGAACTGCCCAACAAACAATTTTAGCTGCAGCTTAGCTTATACAGGCAAAAAATAGCTGCATAAGGCAAATTTTGGCTCTATAAGCTAAACTGCAGCTAAAATTGTTTGTTGGGTGGTGTTCAACCAGACCGAAGATGATGGCGGCTAGAAGCGTCGAATCAGTTACATGTCTACATCAATTTGTTTCAGCATTAATAAGCCTCCCTTAGCTCAGTTGGTAAAGGCGCAGCTACAAAGCGAGACCATGCCTGGAGGTAGCTGGGTTCGATTCCCGATCCGGTCTAGGAGTTTTTCGGGTTGGAAAATTTCTCAAATTCTCTGGCATAGAGCATGATTATACTTGCCTTGCCGCACAATTATACCACAAACAAAGTGACAGACGGAACGGCTCGAAAACTTTGGTAACGAACCTGCTATTGCAATTTTTCAGTGTATCACATGGCAACACTACTACTGGGTTTTACCACATGACAACCCTAAATGTACTAGAATGTTTTGGTTCTATGACTTTCACTCTACTCAAAACTGAAATGCATTAAAAATGACAAAATGATACACTCTTTACACACTGTCAAAGATCATTGCACACAAAATCAACTTTGTTCAAATAAATACCAAAATACTAGCTCATCTTGTGGATGATGGCACAAGCTTTCAAGAAACTTCTATATCAGTGAACCACATTACTTTAATGGGTTTCTTCGCCAGTTAGTTGTCTGTCTCTTCGTTTGTGATTATACTAATGCAAAAATGGTACTGGCATCGATAACTCCCAATTAAAACTGTAGAAGCATAGAGGTAACTCTAAGACTAGAAGGTCCCGAAGAAACGTGCTAAACTTTTTGGCTCAGCTCTGGTACTCTCTTCGGTTCCAACATAATCGATGCACCCCTCGAAACATAGTGTGGTACTAGAATTTCGACTAGAATGGGGTACGTTAATCGTTTGCTTGGGACCAATAGGCTACTCAAGTAGTGAGCCAATTTAAAATCGTTAGTTTCCACCGGTGGAAGTGCATTTAGAATCAGTGTAACTTTTACTCCATGAGTCCGTAGATAGATAAATTTGCTATCATTGATTGAAAATGGCAACGATAGCATAAGTCAAAACAAGGATAATTTCCAAAACCTAGTTGTAAATGTGAATCTTCAAAATCTTCCCAACACGAAGAAAAGGACAATTCAAGTTGAACATATGTAAAGTAAGAAAGTAAAATTGACAGATTCTCTTCGTCGACTTCCTCTTTGTATCCTCATGGCCATGTAAATACATTCCCAGGTATTTTCAGCACGCACCATTGATAAAAGAAGCTTTTTTTACGTTTTAACTTATTTTATATTTGTTAACGTTTAAATGTTGGATGCCAAAAACAGTCAATGGGTGCCAAAGCCGGCATGTACCCTCTTTGATTTTTTTTTATGGTGAACAAAAAATTAACTCATTTTTCCCTAAGAGGAAGAGGAGACAATACCCGAGAAGGAATCGATAGCTAATGGATAACAAATGAATATCTTAATGTGGTATGATACCCGATTTTGGCATGCTTGTGGTATTAAACCTTGTTTTGATATTATTCAGTTATCGAAATATTTCGTTAAATATCAAATGAATACCAAAATAACAAAATGTGATCTTTAAGTTTTTAAACAATAACACCTAAAAGAGTTATTGAATTGTTTTTAGAATACCTTCAAAATAACAAACTATGGTTTTGTGGTATCCAAAAAAGCGTCTGTTATCCGTTTGTTATTGTGATAAAAAAATATTAATTAGTTCGTTATTCGCAGAATATTTTTGAGGTATTATTTTTGGTATTTTAACTCTTATGTCAACCTCACTAATACCAACAATCAATTCGAAACTGACGATTTTAAATTGGCTTACTTCTTGACTAGCCTATTAGTCCCAAGCAAATTGATTAACGAACCCCATTCTAGTAAAAATTCTAGCACTACACAATGTTTGTTTTGATTCGCTACGAAAGTTTGACATATAAAATGAGGGGTTAGTAGATTTTCCTATGTTTCGAGGGGTGAATCGATTAGCTTGAGACCGAAGATAGTACCAGAGCTGAGCCAAAAAGTTGAGCACGTTTCTTCGGGAGCTACTAGTCTTAGAGTTACCTCTATGCTAAAACCATATTTAGGTTGAAAGTTATGTAATTTTCATACCTGAATTTAGGGGGCTTTTTGAACCAATTTTCTGTTAAACGCGAACCAGCTTCTGATTGGTCGGGTGTACGTATAGAAACGCGAGAAATTTTACAACAGGGAATCTATTTTCTTGTATTTTGACAGTCGAATGCGTCGCCTATAATTAAATAATTTTTGCACGGTTTGCACGGTTACCAGGCGTCATTTTGATTGAAATTGACGTTTACGAAATATTAATGGAGGGAAATATGGAACATATCTATCGGTTGTGTATTTTGGTTTTGTTTTGTGAGATTAAAAATAGTCGAACTTTAGCGAAAAAATGCGAATGACAGTCACTAACAAACAATTGTGCTAAGTTTTATGCAAATGAGAAAAGAAGGCGTCGAAGGATATTCTTAAGAAATTCGAATGTTCTCAGAATTTTTGGGAATTCTTATCGGATATTCTCTAAACTTTTCGGAAGTTCTTAGAATTTCTCGCCAGAAGCTCTCTGAACTACAGGAAACTTCTGAGAAGTTCACGGAGCTTCCAACAAGTTCGTGGAACTTCGGACAAGTTCACGGATCATGCGGCATATTCCGACTAGATGTTCATCGAACTCCCGAGAAAATTTCAAAGAATTTCCAAAGACAGGTTCAGACAACTTTCAACTAGGTGTTCAGAGATCTTCTCTGTGATTCTCTTCGAAAGTTCTTTAAACTTCCAATAGAAACTGCCCTTCGGAAGTTCTCTGAACTTCTCCTCGGC